TTCGACCATTTTTAATCTACAGCTTAACATCCGAAATTGAAATGAAGTTGAATTAGAAAATGGAATTGCTAGCATTCTAGCTCGCTCTCGCTCTCTCTTCTGAAAACGAAAACAAGGAATTATTTGAACCTGAATATAGACAAAGATCTCAGCTTCAGAGTTCATTGAAAGACAACACAACACACTTGTCGGGCAGAGGAAGGCTCACGAGAGAAGTCTAAAAAAACCAGGGAAATTCTGCAACTGCAATGCAGCTGTTTTGATTTGCAGGTATTTATCTCATTTTCATTTCCTGTTTTCTATTATGTTTCCCTTTTAACTTCCTCTGCGACGGTTTTGATTAGAAAATGCTGTTTTGTTTCATATTCGTCGTTTAACCCTGTGATCCTTCCAAGAGTATTGTTTTCTATGTGATTGATGATTCTTCATAGTCATATGTTGCTTCTGTGTCTGAACTAGAAATTATTGTTCCATAATCATTTCAAAGCTATGGTTTTAAAATTTAAAAAGAAGGAGGAGGAGGAGGAGGAGGAGGAGGAAATACCTTAGCTCAGTTTTGGAATGTGCCACACGAGATTGAATAGAGACATGTGGAATAGTAATCAACTAGCTTTCATCAATACCATATATTGCATGACCACATATACATCCAATTTGATGCCTCTTCGTTACTAGGATCAAGTATGGGTGGCTCCAAAAATTTAATGCAACCTGCGATGGCCAAAGCCAATTGGATTATCTCCATAGGATCCATCCTTTAAGTGCCATAATAAGAACAACCCAACATTAACCTGCAACCTCGTAAGCTTTTCCAACAGAGGTCAAGCCACCTGTGGCATGATTGCCTTCAGCAATCATTTGAAGCAAGTTCTTCATCTCCTGTGGTGAATAAACCATTGGGTCTTCACTAATATTGAGATCAGAAGGCTCTGATAGATCAATCTTCAAAACCCGGAAGAATCTCTTGTTTCTATCACCACCAATTAAATAAAACCTCTGCTCAAAGAAACCAGTGAAGAGCTTCATCCCAAAAACAAAACCTTGAAATGTATCAATTACTTCAATTGAGAATTAATGTATTATAGTGATCAGAAGTTGCAACCAACTGATTTGATTTTGGTTTTACATAAGTTATTCTCTTCACATTTGAAGAAACCAAGTTCCCTTAACAGATTCTGTTGTTATGTTCCATGCTCCTGAAATTTCCTGCAACATTTTTAGACTTGCTTGAAGATGCATGTGAATCATTGTCTGCCAGGCTATTTATATGTCAAGAGGGTGACAATATGACTGATGATTTTTCTTAGAGTAATGGATATCTCTTGTTTTGATTTAGTTTAGCATGTTTTGGTAGTGGAACTCATTATGTGAGTCGTGGTTTTTGTTTCTATGGCAGGTTTTAGACTTGCTTGAAGATGCATGTGAATCATTGTTGGACAGCATCTTGGCAGAGAACAGCCATCCAAATTCTTAAATTTTGCTTGAACGATGGTCGATCTAATCTTCAGACTCAATAATCATAATCAATATCAGTGGGACTAATGTCAATAGATCAACATTATTTACCATGGCAGCTTGACAGGACCTCCTGCTATCCCTTTGTTGGCAGGCTGATCGTATTCCTTTAAATTGGATTTTCAACCCTATATTGTAATAAAATCATTTGCTTTGTATTTTCAGATTCATTGTTTGTTTATTGCTTCATTTACTATTTCTTTGTTAAATTTTGAGCATTTGGTGTTTAAGAAGGCGCCATTGCCATCCTTACAAGAGTTCTGCACATTTGAACTGCTGTATCAACAAATCATCAATAAGCAAGATTGCCGTGGGAACCATGCATCCTCATGGATAAGGTGTTAATGCTCAGCACAAATCAATTGCACATAAAAATATCATGAGTTGTGGGTCCATGTCATTCTTACTTGAGAGTTGAGGCAAAGCAGCTTCAAATGTTTAAAACCAAAATTATTTTGAAGGCATGAAAGCACTAAGTTGCTCCACTTTCGAGTTCTTTGCTGGGTAGGAGGGCCATTTCCTGTTTTTAATTGAATTGTTCTTTCAACCAACAATTTTTTCACCATGGATCCATGTTCCTTTTTATAGCTATCTACGTCAATATGCATATTCTTGAATGAGTTCTCCATAGTAAAATTTTCATTATTCTAGAATTGCTGTTACATTTGTCTTAAAATCCAAGAAGCAGCAGTAATTATTGAATGCTAAATTAAA